TTGACTCTTCTAACCAAAAACAACAATAAACTCAACTTGTTGACTCTTCTAACCAAAACAACAATAAACTCAACTTGTTGACTCTTCTAACTAAAAACAACAATAAACTCAACTTATTGACTCTTCTAACCAAAAACAACAATATACTCAACTTGTTGACTCTTCTAACCAAAAACAACAATAAACTCAACTTGTTGACTCTTCTAACCAAAAACAACAATAAACTCAACTTGTTTACTCTTCTAACCAAAAACAACAATAAACTCAACTTGTTGAACCCAGTTTCTAACTGATACAACTAACATTTACAGTACAGAACCATTCAACTGTTGAACCAAGTTTCTAACTGATACAACTAACATTTACAGTACAGAACCATACAACTGTTGAACCCAGTTTCTAACTGATACAACTAACATTTACAGTACAGAACCATACATATGTTGAACCCAGCTTCTAACTGATACAACTAACATTTACAGTACAGAACCATACAACTGTTGAACCCAGTTTCTAACTGATACAAACTAACATTTACAGTACAGAACCATACAACTGTTGAACCCAGTTTCTAACTGATACAACTAACATTTACAGTACAGAACCATACAACTGTTGAACCCAGTTTCTAACTGATACAACCAACATTTACAGTTCACAACCATCCAGCTGTTAAAAGCAGTTTCCAAATAACAGTATAAATGAATAGTTTAAGTTATCAAACTAAAACTAATTATTAATTGTTAAAAACCATAATATATTATCTCTTTAGGGTTGATTACCTACAGCAAGACGTGAAAAAAAAAAGAAAGAAAAATATGTCTCTCTACGAAGCGACCCCTAGCGGTACACGGCAGTGATAATCACTGTACTCACACACACCCTTGTATTATTTTAATAGTGACAATTATAACTATGGATTGATGTTGATGGAAGGAATGCGTATCGTTATTTAAAGGCAGCTAGTATCCTGACCTTGAAATAACGTCATTAATGCTAGAAGACCCACTTTTCAGTAATTGTCAAAGAACAGGAAAGACCTTCGGGTAAGTAGAGTCTTACATGAGTGTAAAGCTAGTGTCCAGTTTTTTGTAGGTTACATCGACGACCTTCATCGTATTTGAAAAAAAGAAGAAAGAGCCACAAATTTCTTTTACAGAACAACACAGTTTCGTGTTACTTGCGATTATATAAATTAGGCTTAAGACAGTGTGGCTCTACTTATAAATTAGGCTTAAGACAGTGTGGCTCTACTTATAAATTAGGCTTAAGACAGTGTGGCTCTACTTATAAATTAGGCTTAAGACAGTGTGGCTCTACTGAAGCCAATTCTGAGTAATTTAATAAAACATGAATAACATTGTGAAAAGAATAGCAATCTGTAATACAAGTTACAACAATGTTTCAAATCAATTATTTTCTCATTTCTTTAGTGCATATTGGTGTAGAAAATACATTCAAACACCAGTAATAAACGCTCTTATAACACCAAATGTGTTATTTTTCATTAACTGGACATTCAACGTTTCGCTTTACAGCTTCTTCAGGAGCTTTTCTCGAAAACACAAACTGTAACACACAGTTGGTTTGAATACTAAATTATAATAATTAACTACAATTTATTTAAACCAGTTGAAACTTTCTTCTGTAAGTTACAGTTTGTGTTTTAGTGGAAAGCTCCCGTAGAAGCTGTAAAGCTAAAACGTTGAATGTCTAGTTAATTAAAAATAACATTATTGGTGTTATAATGTTTCAAGCATACTGTAATGAGAACACTCCACGTGACAAACAATCCGGGCGATTATCAATAGGAGAGTGAGATCAAAAACATTGTTAGCAATAAGAAACAATCGAACTGTAACCAATAGAAACAAGCAACGATCGAATTGTAACCAATAGAAACAAGAAACAATTGAACTGTAACCAATAGAAACAAGAAACAATCGAACTGTAACCAATAGGAACAAGAAAAAATCGAACTGTAAACAATAGAAACAAGAAACAATCGAACTGTAACCAATAGAAACAAGAAACAATCGAACTGTAACCAATAGGAACAAGAAACAATCGAACTGTAAACAATAGAAACAAGAAACAATCGAACTGTAACCAATAGAAACAAGAAACAATCGAACTGTAAACTATAGAAACAACCAACAATCGAACTGTAACCAATAGAAACAAGCAACGATCGAACTGTAACCAATAGAAACAAGAAACAATCGAACTGTAAACAATAGAAACAAGCAACGATCGAACTGTAACCAATAGAAACAAGCAACAATCGAACTGTAACCAATAGAAACAAGCAACGATCGAACTGTAACCAATAGAAACAAGCAACAATCGAACTGTAACCAATA